AATAAATAGAACTCGACAATCTTTTTACAAAACTAACAAAAACTAACTGAAATTATAGATAGAATATCCTTCGTTTTAGTTTTGGTCAACTTTTTTTAAGCCGCGTGGACTTATTAAACAAATGTTTTTTTTCTTCAAATCGAGCAGTTTTACATTCAGCACCTCATGGTCTGTAAGGACACTTGTTTACATTCTGCTGCTGCTCAGCACTGCCTGCAAAATGATGACAGCAAATGTGGCAATTTGTTACAATTTGGGATTTCTTTGAATATGACTGCAAGAAAAATAAAAGCATGTGTTTTATAATGGAAACAGGTGATAAAATAGGTGGCATACTTCTCAGGGGAAAAACTGCATGAATCAAGCTCACACAAGAGGGCTAACTGTGAGTGTCTTGACAAGCTAGCTTCTCTCAGTAGCTCCCATGAAAAACAAACAGCCCTTCCTAAAACAATCGCCCAAGTCCTTTGTTGCCAAAATTGAGTTACGCTATTATCTGAAAGTGTCGCTATAATGGACTGCTTTCACTGGCGACCAAATAACTGCTGGTAAGTTAACTCCCAGGAACACCTCAAGCTGGAGGATACACTGGCAAATATGTTTATTCATACTATTAAAAACAAATACTACAACTAATGAAAACTAAAATAAAACTAAGCATTAAAGAAGCAATAATAACTAATAAAACTAGCAAATCAACTCTAAAAACTAATTAAAATTAACTGAGTTAAAAGAAAACAGTCACAGCAATAAAACCCAAAACTATTAGGTCCTTGTAGGGGTCTTAGAGAGTCAATCCAGTCTGATGATCTTCAATGCGGGGTGCACTACATCCGCTAATACCAGATTACAATTTGCATTTATTTTATAAACGTTTATCGCTCTTAACTTTCACTGGATTCTTTTTCCTCTCCAAATCCGCACATTTACCTGGCTGTTTGTGTTGTAAACTTTTGTTTCAATAAAGCTTTCAAAAAAAAAAAAAAGGGAATAAAAATGTATGTCCGGAAAATAAAGGGACACTATTGGCTCACTACTGTCTCATGACAAGATGTGACTGGTCAACAGAGCGGTGGGAAGATCAATGTGGCTTTACGTGTCTCTAAAGTTTTATGTTCTGTTTATTTATGAAGAGTTTAAGTTGTCGACATGGAGCTGAAAGCAGTGTTGTAGTTCAGCCTGCAGATGAACCGCATGTAGAGGCTGTAGGTGAGGCAGAGCTCGCTGAAGGTGGGAGCCAGGAGTCTCACCTGTGGCCCAGTCTGGAGAACTGTTTTGTTTTTGAGTCAGGGTAAGGCCAATGAAAACACCCTGCACTTTCAGTGCATTATGTGCCAGCCCAAGAAGACCACTATCAGAAGGGACAATTGAGGAGCACAATTTAAAAATTGCCATATCAAGAAGAAACACTGGCACAGGCCAGCCAGTTCAAGGAGAAGCTCAAAGCTGGCTCTTCATGTGGCAAACAGGAGTCAGTTACAGGAGTCCCCACATCTTTGTTGACCTGATCAAGACGCTGAACCCCAGCATCTAGTATGTCCCGCTGCAACCTAGGCAGAAGGATCTTAATTATGGGTTATACAAGTTTAGGAAAGTTTTTAGAATGGTTTACTTGATATTTTCATGATTGAATTCATTAGTTTTTGTATGTATGTATGTATGTATGTATGTATGTGTGTGTGTGTGTGTGTGTGTGTGTGTGTGTGTGTGTG